CACTTTGGATCTAGAGTCCAGACTCTTAAAAACATCGACAAGAAAAAGTACTCTGGATTCAATCAGAATCTAACTTAAATCAAGAACCAAGCCTCTTAATTTAAGCGGATTTCCTTTTGATTCAAACAAAAATCCGATTGAATCAAGAGTATTTTTTCTTGTCAATGTGCTCAAGAGTCTGGACTCTAGATTCAATGTGCTTTCTTCCAGTGTGGCATGGAGGAGAAGGGGGTCAAACAATTTTAAAAAAGGGCCTGGCGTCACATTGAAGGACCACCAAAAAGCTTTTTCATCCAGACTCTGTCGGACTTACCATTCGGTTCACATATCCGTACTCTCGATTTCAAGAACCATATTCTCGGTTCGCTAGGTACCATATTTGATATTCTCGGTTTATACGGTTTGGTTCGAAAACTCGGGTGCACGATAGCCGAGGATGGTTCCTCGGCAGTGGCGTGGCGGGCTTTGCGATGTATCGATTGTTATGCCATCTAAACCTATGGAAAAAGATCGATAGATAGGGTGTTCGCAGCGAACACCTTAAGAATCGATTCTTTACCATTGGTTTAAATGGCATAACAATCGATACATCGCATTTCACGCCACGCCACTGGGTTCCTCGGCCCTCGAATACGGTCATATGAACCGAATAGTGCGGCCGATATAGAACACCGCGCTTGCAGCTCATTTGACAGGACTTTTTTTCTCCGTATGCATGTCGGACATGCACAGGTCGTCGCTCTTCTGACGTAAGGGCGTATCTCAATTTGAACGTGAGCCCTGTTTTCCGTGTAGCTCTATGCTTTCTAGGGCTCACGTGGAAATCGAGATACGCCCTCACGTCAGAGGAACGGCGAGGTGAAAGGGCGGATCGGAGCGTAACGTAAGGACGTAAGGAGCCACGGTCGCAACACCGGATTGGATTACGAAACGGAGGCGTAAGTGCAGAACTTTATAGCGTGGTAAATTAGGGCAACCCGCAGCGCGGCGCGGTGCTACTGAAATCCGAGCCGGAAATTATAGCCTGCTAAACCAGCCGCTCGATAAAAAAAATCAAAGGAAATAAAATGAAAAACTGATAAAATCTGATCAAGAGGTGAATTGCGGCTCGTGGAATGAGCTCGATTCGAGCCGACTCGTGCTAGTCCTGCATTCGTGTCGCGTCGTTCGGATACACTGCCGCGCTTAATGGAAAACGCCGTATGAACCATCAGACGTTGCCACATTTCGATTGATAAAACACGAATTTCCTGGTAAACTTATGAATATTTTTCTTCCAATTTTTTAGATAATGTTGTTCGCAATTTCAACTGAAGCTCTTGGAAATTTCAAGGAAAAATAATCACAACTCTCTTCAAAAATAAATAATTTATTGAAGGAAATTTGGCAACTCTCGAATGTTCATACGACGCTCTTCCTTAGCACGGCAGTATACCTTCGAGGCTCATTTCGATTATCTCGTAGCTCCTTGAACGTGTCGTGGCGTATCTTTATGTCCACGTGGGCCCGGGAAATCATTTACTTAAATGTGCAGGATCTCATCTTAAAATTCAGTCACGCTCTTTCGTCAGAGGTGCAACTGGGCTAACAATTAGTTTTGCAATGATAGGTACGAATTCTAACTCATTTGTAAAAGCACTTATCTGCAGATGAAAACTTATGGCACATGCGTTGTTTCTAAAGGGATCTCTTGTCTCTAGAGTACACTGCCAATCCTCTGATTCCGATGGCAAACCACGATGGCCAAGAATGTTCACAAATGAGCGTTCCTCCTCAAAAATGAATATGCACTGAAAAAAAAAAAAACACATTGGATCTAGAGTCCAGACTCTTAAAAACATCGACAAGGAAAAATACTCTCGATTCAATCAGATTTAAGCTTGAATCAAGAACCAAGCCTCTTAGTTTGAGCGGATTTCCTTTTGATTTAAGCTTAATTCCGATTGAATCAAGAGTCCTTTTTCTTGTCAATGTTTTCAAGAGTCTGGACTCTAGATCTGCCGTGCTAAGGAAGAACGCCGTATGAACATTCAAGGGTTGCCAAATTTCCCTTGATAAAATTTTCATTTTTGAGGAAAGTTATGAATATTTTTCCGAGAAATTTTCAGGAACTTTAGATGAAATTGCAAGCCAAAGTATCTGAAAAATTGGAAAGAAAATATTCATAAGTTTACCAGGAAATTCGTGTTTTATCAAAGGAAATTTGGCAACGCCTGAAGGTTCATACGGCGTTTTTCCTTAGCACGGCAGAGTGCAGAGATCCAATGTGTTTTTTTTTCCCAGCGTGAAATGAGTCTCGTTGAAAATCGTCTCTCTTGCATTTTCGTTTTCTTTTTACTTTGCTGCGTGGCCACGAAGTTGGATGTTCCTAATTTGTTGTTTTTCGTGATGTTTCAGCCGTTGGGGCGGACTGATCTAGACGGAGGCCAAGGGAATGGAGCGGGCCGCGCTCGGTTCATGGCGATCACGTCGCTGGAGGACGTGCAGGCGGTCCGGTGCGCCGAGTTCCACCCCCGGGGAAACGTCTACGCCGTCGGGTCCAACTCCAAAACCCTCCGAATCTGCGCCTACCCCAAAATATCCGACATCAGGTACGTACCCCATCGCACCCGTCATTCGAATTGGACCGAGTTTAACAGAAAGGAACCAAGCCACATCAGCTATCGCCAAGTTTAACTGGGCAATTAAATTATTCACGAGATAACGTTTTTTCGGATTTCTGTGAAAATTTTAAGGAATTTGCTTCGTACCGTGGAGAATTTTCACTAAAATTTGCACGAAAATCCGCACAACCGTTTTCATGTAAAAAATTACACGGAAAAAACGAGTTCAGGGCTGGCACCTGCACCGAAGGTCCCAGCCCTAACCGGGTAGGTAAAATTGCTTCACCTCCACCGCCATAGGGGCAGGCCCGGCGCGCGTAGAGCCCAAATCTACCTACTTCAGGGTTCAGCCCTACCTGGTAAGAGCTGCACCCTGTCCAGGTAGGGCTCGGCCTTACCCCCGCAGGGCCTGCCCCTATGGCGGTGGAGGTGAAGCAAGTCTAGGGCCCAGCCCTAATCTCGTTTTTTCAGTGTAAATCGCCTAATTAAATTTGGCAGTAGCTGATGTGGCTTGGTTCCTTTCTGTTTAACGCGGTCCAATCAGAGTTGTGTTTACAAGGAGGATGTTGCCGTGCTGAAGAAGATCGCCGTGTTAACGCGCGAAAGTTGACAAAGTTCCTCGGATAAAACAACTATTTTTGAGGAAAGTTATGCAGAGTTTCCCCTAAAATTTCCAGAAATTTTAGATTTAGTTGCGACCAAAATCGTCTGAAAAATTTGGGGAGAAATATTCCCATTTTGCCTTCTAAATTCGCTTTTTTCAAAGGAAATTAGGGAAACGTTTGAGTAAGGCCCTGTCCACACGAGCGCAGTTCGCGGAACTTATTCCTCGAACTTGCTCAGTTCCCGGAACTTATTCCTTGAAACGAGGCATGCTGTCCACACGAGTTCGCCCGAACTGGAACCGGAACTTCAATAAAACTATACAATTATTGCAAAATAATAGATTATTACGACCGCCAAAGTAACAAAAATAAATGTCAAGATATGTAAAGGACGTAAAAAAACAAAAACAAGCAAATTCACATCAAAAGAAACATATTTAGAAGCTCGGAGTACGGGAGAAATTTCGGGTTTTGGAGGAATAAGTTTCAGCTCAGCTAAAAACTTGTTCCGGGAACAAGTTCCTCGAACTGAGTTCCGCGAACCGCGCTCGTGTGGACAAGGCCTAAGGCTCATATGGCGTTCTAACGTTCTTCCTTAGCACGGCAGAATCGGTCTGTTGCACATTAGAGGTACAGATAAGTGAACAGACTTTTCAGAGATGAGATCGCATAGAGATAATGGTGAACACGTCAAAAAAGTGTGGATTTTATAAAAATTATTTTTATTTTAAACATAAAATTTTATAATTATAATATTCAGTATTTCTGACTCTGCTCTTCAGAAAAGTGTGAATCCAGCACTATTCCACTATTTCGGTATCTGGTATCACAATGACCACCAAGAGACAGAACAAAATCGCATCGCTCAAGTTTTCGAAGATCTTTCAATGATCTGATGAAGTCTCCTCAGGCTCTTTACCTACCTCTGCCGTGCCAAGGAAGAACACCGTATGAACCCTCGAGAGTTGCCAAATTTTCCTTGATAAAACATGTATTTTTGACGACATTCGTGCACATTTTACTTAGCGATTTTCAGATATTTTAGATTGAATTGCGTACGAAATTGTCCGAAAATGTTGGAAAAAAAATATTCACAACTTTCCCTGCACATTCGGTATTTCGTCACCTTCCAGGCAAAGTATCACAAGCGCCATGCGACGTTTAAAAATTTCCGCCGCCATTTTATTTTTTTACTGAGAAATTGTTGGTTGAATCTGTTTGGAAATTTCACTAAATTTTGTCGGCAGCACAAAGAAAATTCAGTGAACTTTTCGGACAGCTTCGTTGAACAATTTCTCTGTAAAAAAATAAAATGGCGGCGGAAATTTTTAATCGTCGCATGGCGCTTGTGATACTTTGCCTGGAAGGTGACGATTTATTGAAGGCAATTTGGCAACGTCTGATGGCTCATACGGCGTTCTTCTTTAGGACGGCAGACCTGTTCCAAGCCGAGCTCCGCCACCCAGCCTAGCGCTATCACCCAAACTGATTCCGTCGGCCGGCTGGAAATGGGAAGAAATGAGGAACGGGATTAGCTGGGCGTCGGATACTCGGATAGTTTCCTGGTTAGCGGTTGATCCGCATCGGCGCAGCTCGGCCTCCGCTCTGCCCAGCACGGGGTCCACTTCCAAATGTCAATCTCCGAGAGGCAACTTGTGAGCGCTCCGCCTAGACTTGTGCGTGGTGCATCATCGCGCCGCCACCGCCGCCGTGGGAGAAAGCTCGAGCCGCCGCGGCGGCATTTAAGCTCTACCAAAGCTCCAAGCTCCACCGCACCCAGCCCGGACTTAGACCGTCATCTAAACGAGAGGGGTTCATCATCGCTACGCAGCCGTGGTATCAAGTCCGCACTGGAAAACCAAACACATTGGATATAGAGTCCAGGCTCTTGAAAACATTTACAAGAAAAAATACTCTTGATTCAATCGGATTTTTGCTTGAATCAAAACGATATTCGCTTTTAAGAGGCTTGGTTCTTGATTTAAAGCTAGATTCTGATTGAATCAAGAGTACTTTTTCTTGTCGATGTTTTTATGAGTCGGGCTCTAGATCCAATGTGTTTTTTTTCCAGTGTAGGTCTTTGAACTCTTAGGGCCCGAGAGGGCAGCTAACCTATAACTTATCCGGAATGATTTATTATTACAATTGTTACGAACCATCGTTTATGAAGCACGCATTTGACTTAAATTAAGAGGCTTGGTTCTTGATATAAGCTAGATTCTGATTGAATCAAGAGTACTTTTTCTTGTCGATGTTTTTAAGAGTCTGGACTCCGGATCCAATGTGTTTTTTTTTTTTTTTTTTTTTTTTTTTTTTTTTCACTGCGCGCCCCGGTGGTTTTATTTCATGTAAAATTTTGTGTCACCGTATCTCACATGAAATCTGCTCACATATTCTGACCGTCTCAGGAAAATCGGAACGTCCCCGGCATGAAATGGAACTTTTCTTCGGGTCTGTGTCCTGGAAAATGATTGAGGAATCACGATGATCGCGTACGGAAGGTCTTCGGGCTGATTGTTGAAATTGATAGACAGAGCTATAGACAAAGAAGACAAGGTATATGGAGGGATCCTTTTAGTGGAAGCGGGTGGTTGCAATGAAGAACAAGAGGTGGGCAATAGATTAACTAACAGCAACCCACGAGGGACCCTAAAGTTAGTCTATAAATTACCCCCTTAGTCTATAGGAACCACCCATCTCAACCAGTAGGATAGCTGCATACTACCTATCTTTTCTCTGTCTATCAATTTGTTTATCACTTTCAACAATCAGCACACACTGGAAAAAAACATATTTGATCTAGAGTCCAGACTCTTAAAAACATCGACAAGAAAAAGTACTCTTGATTCAATCAGAATCTAGCTTTAATCAAGAACCAAGCCTCTTAATTTAAGCGGATTTCGTTTTGATTCAAGTAAAAATCCGATTGAATCAAGATTATTTTTTCTTGTCAATGTTTTCAAGAGTCTGGACGCTAGATCCAATGTGTTTTTTTTTGCCAGTGCACGGTCCCATATTATTTTTATGGATGCGTTCTCAGAACGACATCCCCTGCATTTGAGTCCTCGGAGTTGAGTTGGGCGATGCTGGAAAAACGTCCTGCAGCGAAAAACGGTGGGCGAAGCGACTGACGACGCCATAGAATCGACGCACCGGGCATCAGGGCACGGTGGGAGATGCAAATATTTGCATTGAGCGAGGGAAATAATGGGGCGCGCCCGCGGTGCGACAAATGACGCGCGGCAGCCGAGCGTGGCAAATCGGCGGTGAAGACCAGGCTGAACAATAACGAGGAATCAGGAACGGGGAACGAGGAATCGGGAATGCAACGAGGAATCGGAAACGGGAAGCTAATAAGTCGCCGTCCATGTTAAATCATCGACCGCCCGCCCCGCCCCCCGCCCACCGGTGAAAGTGTCGCCGCATTCAGAATCGGAATTGAAATCAACCGAGCATCGCTCCACGGCAACGGACCGCCCGATTATTTTACTTAACATCGATTTTTCAGAGATGCTTTAAAAGAGGGCTATCGATCAGGGCCATTTTGGGCCCACTCTGAATTTTTTCAACTCTGCGATTTTTCGGTCTTTGAGGTCATTATATTTTATGGGATGCATCTTCTTAGGTGGATCTAGGGGGGAGGAGCAGGGGCTGAGATCGCCCTTGAAATTTCACGTGAAATTCAAAGGAAAATAACCTGATTATTACTTTTCGAAATTTATTATTAGTAACTATGTGCACGGAGAAAAAAACTTCGTGCGTGGGACCCGAAGTTTAGTTCATATGGATCTCTGAAGTTTTCAGATTGAACATCTGAACACTTAAGGTCCTGCTGCTGAGGTTTGGATCACACATCTGAAACTTCAGTTCTTACATCTGAATCTGAAGTACTTCGGTCTTCTTATCCGAAAAACTTCGGTTCTTTCATCTGAAGTACTTCAGATGTAAAAACTGAAGTTTCGGATGTGTGATCCGAACCTCGTCAGCTAGACCAAAAGTGTTCAGCTGCTCTATCTGAAAATTTCAGAGATTCATATGACCTAAACTTCGGGTCCCACGCACGAGGTTTTTTTCTCCGTGTGAATAGGATTTGCTTGTTCTTTTAGTCTTTTTTCTTAAATTCATTCGAACATAGTTCCATTTTGCATAGATACGTCGAGTCAGAAGTCGCACAAGCCGAGAGTTTGTAATTAAAGGGCAAGACAGGTTTTCGATTTCATTAATTACCGGCCGGAAAGACATCCTCACCTTGGACCATAAACAATGGTTCGAAACGGTCTCCGAAAGAGCACACGAAATGTCGACTGAAAAAACCACTTTCTACTGGCTAACCGCGAAAAGACACCGCGCCGCCGCCGAGATGTTCCGGGGCGCCTGAAATTC